CGTTATTATTATTATTATTATTATTATTATTATATAATACATGCTATCCCCTAGATTGTAAAACAGCCTCGGCTGAACTTGGCTCTTTCATTGATTTTTGTATCTACTTCTTCTTTATAAACAATGTATGTCAATGAATAAAGCCCATTTATTATTATTATTTTCAATTTTTTTCACGAGTTCGCAGATTTAGATAGGACACACTGTATTTTATATACATTCAGAAAAAATCGAGTCGAAAGGATTTTTCAACATGGAAGACGTTCTCATAATTGAATAATTCTTACGAAGATTCAATCGAAGATGAACATTTTGTTTTCATTCCAGAACACAGTTGCTTTGAAGTATTCGTTCCCCGTTTGGAAATCAAGGATCCAATTTTTGTGAATTTGAGAATTCAAGTACATTCCAATGGAGCCGTACAGAATGCACACAATCAAAATCCTCTGGTTATGCTTCCAACTAAAGTTGTGAAAACTTTCATAGATACAGACAGAGGGGTATACAAACCTGGAGACAAAGTGAAATTTAGAATAATCGTTCTGGACCAAAAACTTCTTCCAGTCAGCACCAAGGTAGGAAAAATCATTTCACATGACTTGAAAAATAATATTTATAGGAGAAATTAGTTTTCTGGGAAAACAGCTTTCTGGTTTTCCTACTTCTTCATCATCAAACAAAAATGTGTCATAAAATTGTAAGAGAAATGGGTGCTCTCCATAACGGTGCTGACGGGTTGATAAGACAAGTGTTGTGTCTCGAAACTTCAAAGTAGGTACACCATTGAAGAAGAGAGTTTACCACATTTCTTGTTTGAAGATGGAGAAGTAGAAATGGAAACGCATGAATTATTCCAAGGATAATATCGTGTTAACTAGTTTAGTAATCCAATAGTTTTTCTTAAAAAAAAGGTTGATTAGGTAACAGTATTAATTTTTCTTAAAAAAAACAAATGTTTTCTTGCCTACGTCTCGAATTCCATTAAATTTTTCTTCAGGGCTCGAAAAGTAGTTTCTTCGTGTTGATAATATTACCATTACCATCAGACATATTGGTTCCTTTTTGAAAAAAAAATAAAAACATTGCAACAACCAAATTTGAGACAACATCAACACAAAACGACATGGAACAAACGAAATCGGAACACAAACGCCGTTCCCACATGAACTATGGCATATGAAAAATCAGAAATCAAACCTTTTGTGAAATTCCTGATAATTGAAAACAAAAACAATCAATTTTTCTATTCAACGACCAACAAGAAGGCATAGTCCAAACGAGGTCAATTCGAACGGCATGAAAACTAAATAGTTAACCAATAAATTCATCAGAACCGTTACATTAGTTTTTCATTCAGCCGTTCGAATTGACTTCGTATAGACTATAATCAACCACATTTCTGAATCTCATTTTCATAAAATTTCGATAATCAATCATTATCAGTCATCATAATTTTTCAATTTGTCTTCTTAGATACCTACATTTTTTATTGCAATGTAACTATTTTCGTTATTCTACAGTGAGCATAATCTACAATATGAATTCAAAATCAAAACTAGATCTGTCTATTTAAAATCTGTTAGATAACTTGAGAAACTAGAAGAAAAAAAAGAACTAACTGAAACTGGAAATTGTGAGTCCAGGCTGAGCTACCTAAGCAATGCTTGTGTTGTAGTTATCAACCTGAATTACATTGATTATTTACATAATGAGTGATGAGTAAGAAGAAGGAAAAATACAAAGTCAAATTCTTTGTGAGGGAGAGAGAATATGGTTATTTATTGTATTTTGTATGTCTTATCATTATTCGAGTTCGTATATGATTTTCAGTTTGTTATAATTTTGGTTCACATATTCTTTCAGTTTTAATTTCATTTCATGTTAGGAATGACTCTAATTTCTATAGGGACTAGGTTTAACAATTTTGGACCAAAGCATGATATAAATTTCTGTGTGTGTGTTAGTCTATAGAGGGGAACATTCGTTTTCTGCTCAGATTTAGTACGTGGGTTATAAGTATAACTCATCTGAGAGATGGAGGTATTTTGCATTCATATTAAGCATTGATAGTTATAGAATTGGATCGCTGAGGGTGTGTTAGTCTATAGAGGGGAACATTCGTTTTCTGCTCAGATTCAGTACGTGTGTTATAAGTATAACTCATCTGAGAGATGGAGGTATTTTGCATTCATATTAAGCATTGATAGTTATAGAATTTTCTTAGATCAAATAAGCCAGTTTTTTGTAAAGGTCTTCAGTTGAGTACCTTCTATTTTCCTTAAAAATTATTTTCAATATGGTATTCTGCATAACCTCTAGAACGTGTAATGATACAGTACCTCAATAAAAATTCAGCAAGTGAGTTGTAAATCGTAAGTAAGAGCTTTTTATTATTCAGATTTCTGAGTTGATAGAATTCATAAACTAACTTATTGAGCCTCTTAACTGTGCTGTCAATGTGTTCTTCCCATCTCAGGTGTTGGTCCACATATACATCCAAATACTTCGTGTTGTCCACTTTTTTAGTTATTGGACATGAACACTACGTTGGGGTTCGGCATAGATACTTATGAACAGCGAGAGTGTTAATTGTTAATTGTTGTAATGTAATGAACTTAGTTTTTCCGACATTCAGACACAAGAGGCTCACATTCAACCAAGTACATATTAGAGCTCTGTTTTAGCTTTCTCATAGACTTCATTCCAGGAATCGGCTCCAAATAAAAATGCTGTATCGTCTGCGTAAGATATTATTTCGCCATTGATATTATGAAGTTTATAAAAATTGTTAAAATAAAATAGGACTCGGCACTGACCCCTGGGATACGCCCATGTTGACAGGTAGTGGATCGCTGAGGGTACTGTTTATTTCAACCTTTTGATTCCTATCAGATATATAGTTTTTGAATAAGTCTAAAGTAATAACTCTAACTCCTACAGTTTCTAAGCGGTCCAAAAGAATTTGATGGTTGACAGTATCAAAGGCTTTAGCCAGTTCCCTCAAAATCTACCCGTTAACCAAGAATTAATCATTGTTACCTAATGTAATTGATGTTGCACGGAATGCATAGATTAAAATAATAAATTTTCAACTCATTACAGATTTCAGAAATAAAAATTGTTAACCCTTTAGACGTTACGGTGGCCGTTTGGGAAGAAGTCGTTTTGGATAACGGTTTGGTCAGCCTAGAATATGGAATGGTTCAAGAATCTATGATTGTGAGTGTTTTTAAACACGTGCTGACGATGAGAAGTCGATCTGCATTTGTATTTTCATTAACACTGGTACAAAGAGAAATAATCAAAACAACTCTTTCCATTTCAGGGAACATGGAAAATACAAATATCTGGAAAATCAAAGTCCTTTGAAGTATCAAAATATACTCTACCTCGATTCAAAATCAATTTAGTGTATCCTCAGATTATTTACCGCAATACAAAATCAATCATCATCGATGTATGCGCCCAATATTCCTATGGGAGAAATGTGGAAGGTCTGGCTTTTGTCAAAATATTCGATTCTCTGGGACACATGCGACCAATACATGTACTGAAGGAGGTGAGTAAATGAAGAAAATTCAACTGAAAACAAAGCTAATGATGATACTTTGGTGTCATTCGATTTCCGGCTCAAAGGAGTAATTTCTTTAGACGAGAAAAACCCCCAGAATGATATTGATCACAGGAAGCCTACTTTTTTTGAAATATCAATTTCTCAATTCCACATACGTCAGGTTGTTTTTCAATAACATGTTAGTATTCGACAAGGTTTTTTTTTTGGTCCACTTTGAGAAAAATTCCTGAACATTTCAACAGTTGAACAACAGAGAGCTGAAATTTTTGTGAAGCACTGAATATACCTTCCAAGAATCAAAAATAATTTTTTGCATTGTTTGCTGTTTTCATCAATTCTATCAGTGGTTTTTACACTTGCAAATAGCTTCCATGCGAAATTTGTGATACGACTCTGTTTTCTGTTATTTAAAAGATATTTCAGTAATTCTCATTTCTTCTTGGAGAAATCTAGTCCCTGATATATTGAATTCAGTAGTTACAATCGCGCAAAAAACAATAAAATACATATAAAATAGTAACCAATACTTCAAAAAATGATTTTCAAACGGTGAATTGGGATTATCTCATTTAATTTTGTTATAAATACAGTTAGGCAGGCAACTATTCAAATTGTTCATGTTCACAAAACAAAATCTGCTTTTTACCTACTGTCGGTAGTTTCAAAAGTTTTGGCTGTTTTTATCAGTCTATTTTGAAGTGTAATAACCTTACATCATCTTTTCAAGCACTTCGATAACTTTTTCACTGATTGAACCAATCAGGGTCTGGCAGAAACACTCTACGTTGACTTCATCGAATCCCGAGCACTCAAGTTTTATGCTGACGGGATTAATCGACGTAGGTACGTTCGATTTATGTTGACAAAAGTGCACTGAGTCAAATGGCGCTCATATTGATTGAAATCAATGAGTATTCACTAAAAATGCAGTTTAAATTAGACTAATGAAACGGATCAAACTTTTGAAACAACCTAACATTCTTTTCATTTTCCAATATTCATAAAATGTAATGAAGTATTTCATTTCGGAAATGAAAACTTAGATCACAAAACATACATATGTTAGAGCTTTCTAGGAGCAAAAGAATTGATTGATCATTTATAAGAAAACTGAGAACATACTTAAAACCGGTTTTATTTGAATACAGACTATTTCAAGATGCCCATGTTTTTATGAACGTTAGTGTTATCCACATTGATTTCCATTCATTATTGATTTTCCAATTCTCCAAATTGACTGACTCGCTTTACTTCCTTGGCAGAAATATACAGTGTATGCGATTTCAAACCGCAACACCCGATTTTGAAAAATAAAATATTCAAATCATAGTACTTCGAGCTTTATTCAAATATGTTGAGACCTGCTCAATGCGTCAAAATTTCGAGAAGGGCCATTAGGCATGGATAGTCCATTTATAACTAACACCCTGTATGAGATATTGGGGGGAAATTTGGAATCTATATGTTCGAAATATGTCTCTTTTTCGATAAAAAAATTCCTAATGATCCTTCTCGAAATTTCGACCCATTCTGCAGGCTACATCATTACACAACTGTAACATGGTGTCAGGTGTGGGGTACTTAAGTAAAAAGTAAAATACCCAGTTGAAGTAATAAATAATAGAACAAATAATTGCTGAAAATGGAGGGAACTTTCAAGCCACCTAAAAGCTTGTTGTTCAACCAAGATGTCCATGTGGATCTGGATAATTGTTTAGGAAGCCGGACTTGAAAGTAAGGAAGATCAACTGAAGTTGCTATCTCATTGAATTTGGCTGGTGAGGAAGCACAGAAGAAGTTTCAGACATTTCGACTGACAGATGCAGAAAAAAGTACATTTTACTTTTCCGGCCATGTTCAATGTGTGGTGTGGAGAAAAAAATGTTATAGTTTTTGATATTTTAGGTAGCAATTTCTTTTAAAACGTGTTAATGGTATATCATACTATTCTATAATTGTGTTCATATAGTGGTGAGTTATATCAAAACTTGTCAGATACATGATTGAATCTGGTGAAACAGATGATTTTGAATAAACAATTAGGTACAATACAATTTTACCTCTAGGAAACGGCTAAAATATTGGCATTTTATGTCAAAACTCAAGATAAACTATTAATTCCAAAAAAAGATATATTCGGGAAGCACAAATGATTGCAACATCAGTTCTAGAAGTAGGGAAACAAGGCCGGTGCGAGCCCACTTCAAGGTCGCGCGTCGTTGATAAGTGTTTCAGAGAGAGACTTTAGGGAGAGGGAGATAGAAACGTGTGACGTATTCGATGCAGAGAAGGATGGAATGACTATCAGAGAGATTCAAAGATAAGAGCATAGACTTGGGCTCCTTGGGACTCCGCTTCGCCGCTCATGTCGTCTTAGGGCTTCACCCCTAAGCCTCTTGTCGCGTACCAGTCACGTGGTTCTAGTGGTCATCGGCAGCTGAGGGAAATTGAATTTAAAAAAACGATCGGTGTGGTAATTGAACCTAGGTCGTCGGCGTGGTGGACTTTGTCCTCAGCTTTGACACCAACGTGAGATATTGTAAGTGATTGCGAATTGTTGATAGTGATGGCGATTATTAAAAAACTCTTCCATTTTGTATACTTATGTTGAGCGTTCTCGTAATTACTGAAAAAATTATTCTTATCTAAAACTCCTTTTCAGCAGAATTATTTGAAATCATCCAAATTTTCTCTTCTCATAATTTAGATTCTCAAAAGAAGACACAATATCTCAACTATGAAATATAAAAATGAATTTCTATTTGCACATTCAAGTTCTGAGCCTGAATGCCTTTTTTCTGCTCATTTCATTTTAACAAATGTTCCAGGCCAGATCGCTGAACCATTCCAATATTGGGGATAGTTTTTTAGCAGTCCGTTTGTTTTCACCTAGCAACAGCTATATTGATCTTCAACAAACTGTCGCGAAAAAAGAAGAAAATGAATGTAGACCTTCGCAGCAATTCAAAGTTATTTTCACTGCAGATGCTCTCAACGACAATGAAAATATCACCTTTTATTACATGGTAAGTGAACTGACTGTGGTTAGGTTATATACAAGGTGGATGAATCCAACACAATTTTTTCCAGGCAATGAAAGAAAATATAATTTGAATGATATATGAATGTGGGTTCAACAGACTCGAAATTTTTGATAACGGAGTTTTATCTCAGTCAGATTCAAATCATAGTACTCCGAGCTTTATTCAAATATGTTGAGAGATATGACCTGCTCAATGGGTCAAAATTTCGAGAGAAGGGCCATCAGGCATGGATGGTCCATTTATAACTAACACCCTGTATGAGATATTGGGGGGAAATTTGGAATCTATATGTTCGAAATATGTCCCTTCTTCGTTAAAAAAAATTCCTGATGGTCCTTCTCGAAATTTCAACCCATTCTGCAGACTACATCATTACACAACTGTAATATGGTGTCAGGTGTGGGGTACTTAAGTAAAAAGTAAAATACTCAGTTGAAGTAATAAATAATAGAACAAATAATTGCTGAAAATGGAGGGAACTTTCAAGCTACCTAAAAGCTTGTTGTTCAACCAAGATGTCCATGTGGATCTGGATAATTGTTTAAGAAGCCGGACTTGAAAGTAAGGAACATCCAACTGAAGTTGCTATCTCATTGAATTTGGCTGGTGAGGAAGCACAGAAGAAGTTTCAGACATTTCGACTGACAGATGCAGAAAAAAGTGACTTTGATAGTGTAGTAAACGTCTTCAAGGACTACTGTAAACCCATGCGAAATGAAACTTATGATCGCTATAAGTTTTTTGCCAGAACTCAACAAGAAGGTGAATCATTGAGTAACTTTGTAACAGACATTGAAATGTTTGCATCCGTATGCAACTTTGCTACGTTAGAAGATTTTCTGATCCGAGATAGACTAGTGAGTCGTAATAATAATAATAATAATCATTACTTTACGTATACTAGATTCGTCACTACAAGAGAGGCTGCTACAGTAATTTTGACCCATTTTGCAGGTCAAAGTAAGCCTTGAAAATGAGAATAATTCATATATGTCAACATATTTGGATTGAGCTCGTCAAGTACCATAATTTGAAATTGTCATTTTTACAAAATTGGTTCATGGTTCCAAAATAACAGGGTGTTGCGGTTTGAAATCGCACACACTCATACATAGCACTTTTCGATGCCACATGTTTTTACTTTCTGATTTACTCACTTACCTATCCTCTTGTTTACTCACTTTTTGTATTATTTTGTTTTATAGATGAAAGACGGATGTGGAAACTTCGAGTTCACATCTGAAGACCTCTTGTTGGCCCAAGTGAATGAAAAATTAATCACCCGTGATCAAAAAATGTTCGTTCTAATAACAGCAACAGTAAGTGAACGGGGAACAAACAGAATCGAGCTAGCAAACGCAAGATCGCAGGTGAAACTGCAAGCTTATTCCATGAAATTCACGAGCCATCCAGTTTTCAAACCGGGACTTCCTTATCATGGAAAACTTAAGTTCAGCGATATACATGCGGATCTTAGCAAGGAGTTGGTAGAAATATGTTACAATATAGCTATAAAGAAGAGCTGGAACTATGTTAATGATGAACAATGTTCCAATTTTACGGTTGATGGGAGAAACATAATACCTTTCAGTATTCTACCGATGACGAGCAAAGTTATTCATATGAATTTGAACGTAAGTTGAAGGTATCAAACTTGAACTCTTTGCCTCAGCAAATCCAACAAAATCAGACCTGATGACCTTTTTAATAATCCTACAGACGCATAGCAAAATAGGCCACGTTACATTTTGCAGAAACACTGTCTATGCGGGAATCCCAAATGAGTCAATTGTTGAATTCAGCACAAAACATTTTACTTTTCCGGCCATGTTCAATGTGTGGTGTGGAGAAAAAAATGTTATAGTTTTTGATATTTTAGGTAGCAATTTCTTTTAAAACGTGTTTCGTTACACGGTAGCTTCATCAGTTAATGGTGTATCATACTATTCTATATTAATGTTCATATAGTGGTAAGTTATATCAAAACTTGTCAGATACATGATTGAATCTGGTGAAATAGATGAATTTTGAATAAACAATTAGGTACAATACAATTTTACCTCTAGGGAACGGCTAAAATATTTGCATTTTATGTCAAAACTCAAGATCAACTATTAATTCTGAAAAAAGATATATTCGGGAAGCACAAATTATTAAAACATTAGTTCTAGAAGTAGGGAAACAAGGCCGGTATGAGCCCACTTCAAGGTCGCACGTCGTTGATAAGTGTTTCAGAGAGAGACTTTAGGGAGAGGGAGATAGAAACGTGTGACGTAATCGATGCAGAGAAGGATGGAATGAGTATCAGAGAGATTCGAAGATAAGAGCGTAGACTTAGGCTCCTTGGGACTCCGCCTCGCCGCTCAGGTCGTCTTAGGGCTTCACCCCTGAGCCTCTTGTCGCGCACCAGTCACGTGGTCTTAGTGGTCATCGGCAGCTGAGGAAAATTGAATTTAAAAAAACGATCGGTGTGGTAATTGAACCCAGGTCGTCGGCGTGGTGGACTTTGTCCTCAGCCTTGACACCAACGTGAGATATTGTAAGTGATTGCGAATTGTTGATAGTGATGGCGATTATTAAAAAACTCTTCCATTTTGTATACTTATGTTGAGCGTTCTCGTAATTACTGAAAAAATTATTCTTATCTAAAACTCCTTTTCAGCAGAATTATTTACCTCCGAAGTAGGCCCCTTCCAAAATAACACACCCATGCCAACTAACAACCCGATCATGAAAAAACATTTTAAACGAATTTTTGGAATCGATTTCAGTACTTGTGGCGAATATATGATGTTATATTCTACCCTGAGGACATAATTCATTATCTGTCGTGGTATCATCCAGGTAAGTAGTAGTTTCCCAGCAGACATATGCCAAATCCTACTGTGTAAGCACGTTGGGAGTGGGGAATGTTTCCAAGCATCAGAATTACTTTTAATATATAAACATGAAAGAATCAATTCACCAAAGTTACTCAAATGGATCATCCACCTCATTACCAGTGGTGAATATCATTGGTGTAAATCTGAAAACTATCATTTCAGATAAAAAGTTCATCACAAATTTTCAAACTGAGAAAAATTAGGCACCAAGTGAAGAAATTTTTTCCAGACTATCTGCATACCTTGAGAAATATCGTAGGTGGAAGGCATTCCTTCTCAAAACTCGGAACCAGCTTTGATAATTTTACGTTGAAGTTCAAATTAGACAAGAGAGTTATAACCAATTACCAATTATTGGTTTATTACGTGACAAGAACCGGTGAGACAGTTGCTGACACAAAAAACGTAAATGTTGAACCATGTTTGATGAAAGTAAGTACAATAAATTAATTTACATCTATATCAATTCATTTCTTGAACAATAAAGGATAATTATAGTATCGGAAAAAATACAGTGAATTATTGAATTTGGTTTTTGGTATACATGCTTCTCAATTTATCATAATGAGTTTTGTTTTTCATGAAAATGTTCACTAGCAAAACTGAATGCTTCAAACATAGTGAATTTCAACATACCTTCTATTTTTATTTCAATAAATTGATGGATATAGCCGTTACTACGTGGTAGAAAATCATAATGAAGAGAATAGACCTGAAACTTTCTATGTTTTTACCATTTTTTATATTATATAAAAGTGGTAAAAAACAAAGAAAGTTTCAATTCTCTTTTCTTCATTATTTTTATTTCTTATTATCAATTTCCTACTTCTTAAAAAGAAAACACACATACACATATTCACACACATGTTAACAAAAGTTAACACATCTGTATCTGTAGGGAGGGTGAGTAGGGAGGGTGAGTACAGGCCCACAGCACTCAGGCCACATGTGACCCATTGTACATCCTCCCGAGGAGTTGTCCTCCTAGGCCATCGTCCATCCTGTCATTTCCAGGAAGGTGGACAGGTCACTAGGAGACATCTTCTTTATATCGGCAGACACACTCTCTTTGGCAACCTTGAGGTGTCTCACGGCGGCCTTCGTGAAGATTTTAGAAGATGCAGCGACATTACTGTCGTTGCGCGGCTTCTTCAACCTTCTTTGGGTTCCCTCCGTGAAGGTGATCAAGTAAGGGCACTTCCCTGTAGGGATAGCCGGTTCCTTGCCTTTATTCAAGGCGAGACTGTTTGCGCCCACCGCAGGAAGTGCCCTTGTTGTTGGAGGTGGAGTGGGGGAGGAGAAGGGTGCACTTATAGTTGCTGCCACTCCTACCTCTATCGCTCTCTTCCTCCTTTTGGCCTCGCCGCCGAAAATACAAAGGCCTTGGCGGTAGATTGGGGTGGACATTCCTGTTCATCCCCAGCCACCACCTTTGATTGAGGTGAGCACTTCTGTCCAGCCTAGGAATTGGTTTTTATTTTTGTTGTTTCTGTTTTTGTTTTTGTTGTTTCTGTTTCTGTTTCTGTTTTTGTTTTTGTTTCATTCATGTGTGTCCCCATGAGGAAGCAAGGGAAGAGTTGGTCACCTCTGGCAGAGCCCTGCATTACAAGAAAAAGGCTGATTACAATGAGGTTTCGCCCTGTCCCCAAGGGGATCGTTCGTAACCGCATATCACCCTGCGACCATTGAGCTATCGGCACGATTCCCTACACCTTAGCTTGGGTAGGCTGGTCCACGGTGGCATGTTTCGCAAAAGCTTTTGGAGAGTTTTTGTTCCCACTTATTTCTGCCATTGACCAGGAGTCCGGCGACCCCATCCGTAAGGCCACATTGGCTTCCCGGACAGGGTTCCCAGTCCCCTGGCCGTTCCCCTATCCGCCACTTGGGAACGCGCCCGATAGGTAGCCCAACCCACGGGAAAAGTTAACATAACAAACCTAATTGTATAAAAGTATAAAAAATAGGAAATTAAGTTTACAAACAAACATCTAAGTAACGTATATATTCAATTGCATCCTTAGTCGCTGTCCGGCAGTCAGAGGGGTCACCGGTGTAGGCTCTCAATGGACAGCCTTCAACGATGTGGCTGATTGTTTGCATATCACCTTCACATTCGCACCTGGGCGAAAGATTTTTACCCCATTTAAAAAGTGACTCAGCGCATCTACCGCATTTGATTCTAATACTATTTAGGGTTGACCATGTTTTGCGGGGTATCTCGAATCCATGTGGTTTGCTGGATATGCAAGGCATATTTTTTTTGTATCAAGATGGAGTAGAAGAAAGCCAAAAACTTTCTTTCCCAAAAATTAATCATTCCTAAAAATATAACAACTTCAATTCAAATAAGATTCCTCTTGGCTGGGATTAAATCAAATAGGTGAATGAATGTCATTACGATGTCATCGATGACATAAGCAGATCAAGCTCATTCTGTGACATTCAAAATCATAATTCATGAATGAATTGTGTGTAATTTCTATAATGTTATCCAATTCGGTACTGAAGAGCCTTAGGGCAAGTGTCTTAAGGCGAAACATCGATGTATACCAGTAAGGATGACGGTGTTCCATGTAAGTGCAATTTGTTACCATTCATTTAAAGTAGAACTCATGTGAATGATATCTGATTTTTATTCCACAACGAATGTTTGAAATACAAACTGAGTAGAGAAAAGTATCTTCTGTATAATTCAGTGTTCATATAGAAGTATTTGTTTCGAAACAATTCTTTTCTTTCGTGTAATTCAATGTTTATATGAAAGTAGCTATTTCAGGAGGACTTTCTTTCAGTTTGTGTCTGAAAGTTACTTCTTTGCATGATCTACACATCCATGTATAGAGTTACTTATTTTCAAATTGATTACTTCCTTCCTTTCTTTGGAAGATTTCCCCATCTTTTTTTTGTATCAAGATGGAGTAGAAGAAAGCCAAAAACTTCCTTTCCCAAAAATGCAAGGCATGTTGTGGTAGGCTAGTGGAGCATTGACCTTCCATTTTTCTCGCCAGCGAGTAGTTATCTCAAAAACTGCATCATGCAGAGACTTTCCATTTCTGAGAGGGGGTGGCTGGAGCGGAGTCGGTTTCTTTTTATAGGAGTGGATCGGTAGTCGAGCATTATTAATGATCTTCTTGAATTCCCTAACAAGAGCGTGCTCTCTACGATGGTGAGGAGGAGCTATGTGGCTAAGCGTGTGAAACCAGAAAGTAGGTGTTGGTTTGATCGTACCTGTAATAAGCCGTATTGTGTGTTTGAGCTGGACATCAACCAGACCAGCCCTAGCGCCGTTAAGCCACACAAGGGCACAGTATTCAGCTGCTTAATATACCAAGCTGCTGAAGGCTGAAGATCTCAGTGTGGAGACTGATGCTCCCCAAGTAGTGCCGCGTAGTTTTTGGAGGATATTATAACGAGTTTTGATCTTAGCTGCTGTTTTCGACAGATGTTCTTTGAAATTCAACGTTCTGTCTAGCGTAACCCCTAGGTATTTAGGTTGTCTCCACTTGCGAAAGTATTATCCGATAGCCAGCAGGTCGTTTGTCAGGATATCGTCGGTGACTTCAATATCTTTGTGTCTAGCAACTTATGTCCAGTCGTCAGCGTATCCGAACTTTCTCGAACTCATTTCAGGCATGTCAGCAATATATGAGCTGAACAGTAGGCAAGTACTGATCCCTGTGGTGAGTCGTTGTTGAACTTCTTCTGAGCACTCATGTCATTACCCAGAAGTACTTGGAATTTTCTATTGGAAAGCATAGCATCTATCAGGTCTACTGTCTTCTTGCACACAAGAAATACTATACTACTCTATTCAAAACAAAGGTGAATATTGTTGCAAAACAATTGCAGGTTAAAGTAAAGTGGAGTCAAAAACTCATGGTTCCTGGAGCAACAGCAAACTTGAGGATTGATACCGGGGCACACTCATGGTGTTCTGTTTCTGCGATAGACAAGTCAACGAAGTTTTTGTCGACGAATCACCGTACTTTGAGTCTCGCAGCTTTGATTGAATCATTTGCTTTTAACGAAAAGAGCGAATTTCATTCGGAGAGACAAAATTGCGTTATGCCTGAAAGGAAGAAAGTTAAAGGTGAGTTGTTTGTACAATTAATTTTCACTAAACAATGACGTTCTTCAACTGTTTTATGAGATATGTGTTCCCGTATTCGCCTTTCTCAAAATCTCTACTTCATTACCAATTTCATCTTCAGAGGACCAATTCTACAGAGGGAAATTATTCAATTGTATTTGGTAATAGAGCAAATTATCCAATGCCTCAATCATAGAATTAGCTTGATGGGGTCTCAAATCTTTATTAGTTTTATGTTCTTTCTTTCTTTTGGAGAAAGTCCCATATGATTGACCAATATAAGGACTGGAGCAAGAATCACAAATCAACTTCTACACTGAACCACTGATCACCCTGCACTAATATTTTGTTTTCATTATTTTTGATAAATCCACTCAAACTGTCTCTTGTTCTATAAGCTACGTACAAGACTTTTTCTTTCAAAACACGGATAGTAGAATTGGTGGTTGCACCAAAGTAATTCAATATCCTATGATGCATATACTATGACCTTGTATATGGAATTATTGGTAATTGAATTCAGTTTTGTACCAACTACGGAACAAGTGGAATCTCACAAATACGTTTTGTTTTTGTGCATGAAGATTCATAAATTTTCCGAAGAAACGATGTGTTACGGTTGCAAACTCATGTTGTACACCAGATCTTTCACATATATCAATAAAAATATTCTACTGAGTTAAGACCTAGAGATCTTGGAGGCCACTTTCTGTTATGAAAAATATATTTTTGGATATTTCATTTCAGTTGCTACATTATCTTATGAACCTGTCATCGCAAATGAAACTGTCGAAAGGACAAAACGTCATGTCTATTCATTCTCTGAAGATTTTGATGCCTATGACATTCTAAATGTGAGAATTTAATAATTATTGAAACTGCATAACGTAATATTTTTTTTCGTTTCAGAATTTCGGTAGTTTAATTATCACCAATTTGAAATTAGTAACAAAAACATGTTACAATGGTAAGTGTCTGAAAGTATTATTTTTTTTTTCACTAATATTTCTTGATATTCATGATATTTATGATATTTTTCACAAAATATAATATACTTGACGAAAACAAAGCTCAAATTTACACTAAATAAAACGGAAACCGACGTAACCTAACCTAAAACCTAAAACAAAACACAGAATATCTGTTATTGAGCTTCCATCAAAACTTTGACTCGAGAGAGTAAAATTATCGAGAAGTATAATCAAATGTTTAGAAATAAATAATTCCTGGCAAACATGTTTTATATGTGTTTTTCGTTTTGGAAACGATAAAGAGAATCATAATGAGGTTTTCATCATACGTTTTTTCAGAAGCGATTTGCGGAGTTGCATAATCATAACACAACCTGAATCTTATTTATTTGTCATAAATTACACACAAAAAGTGATGGAAATTTTGAGTATACTGAACTGAACTAACATACTAACATTTTATTTATATAACCTTATTTTGCCTACATTGGGAGAACATATATTTTCAATAAATTCAAAACCAATGCATATTCATCAGCTCAAAATATGTAGATCGATATATTTATCTTGCATGAAAAAAAAATTATATATAACTTGTCAAAAGAAATGTCTTTGAGACAACGATTATAACTCATTTCATATAAATCGTGAATAATCGTTTATTTTTTGCTTGGAATGGTGTCTTTGGTATGTATTTGAAACAGCATTATTATGTATGACTCACTGAATCAGAATACATATTTTTTTAATTGAATGGATACGTATCATCTTGATGAAAATGGTTTGATATGAGATATATTATACGGAATATTCCAATATAAAAAAAATATATTTTAAATACCTTCTAAAAAACGTCATTAATCATTTCTCGGATCATCTCATTACGAACGAAATTTTTTAGAACTATTCTGGTCTATTTGCAGAGGTCTTGCGAAAAACATCATATTTTGCAAATGCAATGCTTATCGAATAATATTTTTGAATGAATTGAAAGAAGCGAAATCACACTTTTCTTCAATTTGATTAATTGGTTTCGAAATCTGAATGAATTTCATTTTCGAAAAAACAATTGATTCAAAATGAAAATAGGTCTTGTTACTTGTTGATGATTGATTAATAACAACAGTATCACAAAATAGAGTGTGTAAAAATGTAAAACAATATTGTATGTAAAATAATATACAACAAAGCTTTCTTCATCACAAATCGTTTGATAAGAAGTTACTTTTCAAAATATCTTATCATATATTTTTGTGAAAACCTTTTTTAATACATTGAATACGTTTTGAGTCACCTAGTGGATGAATAAAAATAAACATCTGGCGATAAGACAATAACGAAACAAACACTCTAAATGATTTTATTTTCAATGAGGTTAAACCTCATATTTTTTGGAGTGCTTTTCAGAAAGAAAGCAATATAGAAAGCTATAATTATTATTTCATTCAACAACAAAATATAACTTAGACACGATACGCTAACATTTGATATCCTGGACATTTGCGAATGATTCCAAAAGGTTGAATGATTTAATGTCTACAACTTTCATATGAATCATTATACACGGGTCTAATAAGAAGCACCCTGTATGTCTTGTACTATTATAAAAAATTCCAATATCAGCTAGGTTGAACAATCCCATCCTTTCCTTAAATATCGATACAAGGATCAGTTTTTGGGCCCTTATTATTTCTTCTTCATGTAAGTGCTATTCCTGAACGTTCTCAACAACTCCAGCTAGATTATGATTAGTTAGCTCAATATTATTATACTTAGAGAAGTAAAATTATTCCAAACACGTGGGATTCAAAGAGAGCAATTGATAAGTAAAGGATACTTTACTTATCAATTTTTTTTTGACAGTGTTCTATGTAAGTGCAATTTGTTACCATTCATTCAAAGTAGAACTCATGTGAATAATATCTGATTCTCATTCCACAACGAATGTTTGAAATACAAACTGAGTAGAGAAAATTATCTTCTGTATAATTCAGTGTTCATATAGAAGTATTTGTTTCGAAAGATTTTTTTTTCTTTCGTATAATTCAATGTTTATATGGAAGTAGCTGTTTCAGGAGGACTTTACCGTTGTTCACTGTCGTATGAAAAATACTAAATCATAGTTAATTTTCTGAAACTCAACTGAATGGTTGGTTTTTTCAGGTCCCCTACTGAAACACACTAAACAAGGTTGGTATGAACTTGCTTTTACACTCTTTATCTCCTCCTAAAATTTTCAGTTCAGTTTCTAACAGATCAATATGAAAATCAGGATGAAGACCAACTGGTTTCGATTAGATCTAATTTTCCGGAAACTTGGATATGGGAATTAGTACCAGTACGGTGAGTCGAAATAACATTAAGTTCGCTCTACAGTTAATAAATAAAAATTTTGCGGCATGATACTGTTGAGTCATATTCTTTGAAATATTTTTGAATCAATATGTATGTACATTTCTCATTCAACTTCTAAGTTAGCATTCGAATTGCACTGTTCATTTCGAAAAATAGAACAGCGGTAGTCACCAAAAGAAATCAAAATAGCTCTTTTGATTTTTTCCGTTAAAACAACTGAAGAGTATATTTAATATTCTGATTTACATTACTAGGGGATCCGTTCAACTGAAAAGACACCTACCTCATTCAATCTCAAGCTGGACCACAAATGTGTTGTGTATTTCAGATGTAGAAGGAATCGGTTTCAGCGAAGAGACTGAAATAACTAGTTTTCAGTCGTTTTTTGTTGATATTCTCGCTCCACACACTGTCAAAAGAGAAGAAGTATTTTATTTATATGCCCACGTATCCAATTATTGGAATCATAAATTTCCAGTAAGTTCCAAAATGACTTTTGGGAAAGATTCAAAGTATCACAAGTAGGTAAATTATAGATAACACAGGCCAACGATCAAAAAACTTTTTTACTTGAAACACCTTATTATTCTGTTTTTTTAGGGTGCTGAATCCAAATATGATACTTTTTAAGCCGTATCACCCACCATTTTTTCACATTTGCACATCAATATATTAAATTTTTTTATTTATTACAGAATTTAACAGCTTTTATATACTATAAATAAAATTTTAAAATCATTTGTGCTGGATGTAGAAGAGTTGGCAGCACTGCTGAAACACATTTAC